GTTTGTTATTATTATTATGAGATGAAAGGAACTTTTGGTAGTGTAATGAATGAGGAGATATTTGCAGGGATTTAAATTTTGGTGTCTTTAAATTTTTGTTTTATTATTATTATTATTTAGTGTTCGTTTTTCGAAAGATTTGTAGGGAGAATAGTTGGGGTTGTGTTTTTACAGAATCCTCTCATATAGTGTGTCATTTGTAGATTATGATAATAATTTCATAGGGTTTAGTTAATACTTGTATTATTTGTTTTGTCAGTAATATATTTACAGTGTGTAGTTTTGAATAATATGTGCTCATAAGTATATAAATATTTATAATATATATTTACGAATAATATATATTAGTAAATATATAAATATTTATAGTATACAATTATGAGTAATATATATTAATGAATATATAAATATTTATATTATATAAAAATTGATGCTCATTAGTTTAAATCTTAGAATCCAGGAATTTAAAATTAAACAATTAAGACACACATTAGCTTAATTGCGCCAATCAAACACAACCCAAACATTTACAGAATAACATTTATGAACTTCAACACCTATCAAATTCACTCGTTCCCCAAACCTAGTGTTAAACAAAGATCCCCTATTAAGTCTTTGCCATGCTATTTAAACAGTAACGCCACTTTAGGGGTAGGACAGTAAGATGATCTTCAGAAATTTTTAAAATAAACACCATACAAGGTATGGAAACAACAACAAAATATCTTTACTGCATATATTTTCAGGGTGGTTTGTGAATTTTTTAAACATTTTGGACCCATGTTCACTGAGTTTCCTTTTACTCAGTTTAGTGAGTTGTACCGTTCGTTGCACAGAACCTGGCAATCTCGTCTAAGTGGTCAGATTCGAAGACACACGCCTGATTGGCTTGGATAGCGAGCGTCTGACTCCGCCCCCACGACGCCAGGAGTGCCAAGTTCCCTGCAACGAACAGTACATTCAATTCGAACGTAACTAAGTCGATCAGTATCATTCTCCGGTGATAATCAATCCCGAAGCGGTTAAGTCCTTGACAATCATTATTATTATTATTATTATTATTATTATCATCTGTGGAAGTTTTTCTATATTTCAAGGAATCTTCGTCCAATAAAGGGTTGAATTTTCGCTGCGAGTTGCACTCCACCCCGAAAAAAATCCTCTTCCCGATTTTTCCCCACATTCTTCACACAACGACGCATCATTCAAGAAACAACCCTCAATCGCTCGCATCCCCTAACCGTCAAACCCATTGCCCCTATCGCCGGAACAGATCCACCTCCAAGAACACCCGACGCAGAACATTTCCCTCGCCTCGGAATTTTCGTTTCCCAGTATCGCAGGCAGATCCGCATCGCGTACCCGTTCGCACAAGTGCTCGCCGCCGCGCGAGCGGCTAAACCGCGATGGCCGCATTGATCAGAACGCCGCCGAGATAAAACAAGCGCGTCGCCTTCCACGGGTCTAGGCGAAAGTGCAGATTTTCCCGGCGAGCAATCGCCTCGACGCCCGGCCGTCTCCGCCGTGGTCTCCGAAGGGATGCCGGGAACGGGGACATAACCTCTGCCACGCTGACTGCCGCGGCCGCGGATAAATCGAGGTGAAAATTCC